ACTGCTCGGTTTTTTTATATGGGCTAGAGACATTATGGCTGATTTTTCCTGGGGAAGAGAAAGTTGAGAAGAGATATGATTGAGCTGTTCAAAGTCATGAGGTGTCAAAGTCATGAGGTGTCTAGCTGGACTGGACAAGGGTAAAGTTTTTCTGCTTAAAATTAATCCACATCAGAAGCAATGAAGAGAGGATGAGGAACTTTTTCAAACAGTCAATGGAAGTCACTGTCTGAATTCAAGATAAACGACTGAGGAGAAGCTATTTTGTGTTGACAGGGAGAAAGCTGGGTAAGGAAGTGAAACCCTCGTTTACTCCATTCATGGAATGTGGGTGTTGCTGGTCACCATTTATTGCTCCATTTCTAATTGCCCAAAATACAATTAAATATCAACAACATTCCTGTGGATCTGGAGTCCCATGTATGCCAGACCAGGTAAGGATGGCAGATTTCCTTCCCTATGACATTAGTGAAATGGATGGTTTTTAATGACATTTGGTAGCAGTTACATTGTTCTCATGAGATCAGCTTCAGTTTCTTCTGAATTAAATTCAAATTTAACCATCTGCCATGGTTGGTTTTCTAGAGAATTAACCTGGGGTTCTGGATAGCTAGCCCAGTGGCATTACCATGATCATCGCTTACTTTGAGGAAATGCAAAAAAAAAAGGCCATTCAGACCTGCTTATCCATACTGGTTTGTGTTCCATTTGAACTTCTTTTGGTATTAACTAGATTGCTTCCTGAGATGAAGAAATACACTGTTATCCCATTCCCCTTTCGATGAAGAGATATCCGCTTCATCTTGGTCTAAAATGATGGGTGGACCGAGACCACACAGTTCATCCCTTGGAGGACCTTCTTGATCAAAGAGCTGACGTTTACATAATGGTCCAAGCCGCCTAGTTCATGCCAACCCACTGGATCCAATCCAGGATCCACTGCACTTATGAATCCACCCGCCTCCAGGATTTGCTCCATTCCAGAGATAGCAAGAACTGCAGGTGCTGGAGTCAGAGTCAATGCAGCGTGGAGCTGGAGGAACACAGCAGGTGTGAAAAAGGGTCCTGACCCAAAATGTCAACTTTCCTGCTCCTCTGATGCTGCCTGACCTGTGTTCCGCCCACTCCATACTGTATGGACTTTGCTCAATCCCAGGACACACTCTGCTCCAGGGTCTGCAACATTCTGGAATCCACTCTGCTCCAGAATTGATTCGGTGATCCATTCCATTCGATAATTCACTCTGCTCCATGATTGACTTAGTTCCAGGATTCACTATGTGCCAGGATCTGCTCCATTGTGGGATCCACTCTGGAATGACTCAATTTCATGATCTACTCAGGTCTGGAAACCAGTGGTCCAGGATCCACTCTATTCTGCAATCCACACTTCTCCAGGATCAGCTCTGCCCACGGATTCATCACATGCTGGAGTCCACTTCATGGTTGGATCCACTCAGCTCTGGGATCCACAGAATGTCTGATGCACTTCTGTTCTTGGATTGGCTCAGCTCTGAAATCCAGCGCATTGTGTAATCCTTACTACACCGGGATCAACTCAGCTCCAGGATTCACTACAATTTAGGATCGACTGTGCTCCTGAATCCACACTGCTTCATTATCCGTTCCCCTCTGGGATCCACCCAGATCCGGGATCCACCGACTCCGTTCCGGCATCCACTGACTCCGCTCCGGGATCCACCGACTCCGTTCGGTGATCCACCCACTCGGCTCCGGGACTGTACGGAAGGATGGGGCCGGTGCGGCTGTTGCTCCTTTTGCTGTGGATCATTGAGATCCAGGATTGCGGTGAGTAACCCCCCCGCCCCTGCCCCATGCCCCCTCCCCCTGCCCCCTGCCCCCTCCCCCTGCCCAACCCACCGCTGCCCCCTCCCTCTTCCTCCGGATACTCCGCTCATTTCTTGTTTCTTTCCTCCTCAGCTTCGCACATTATTAGACGCCAGCGGGATGGCCAACAAATACCTTTAGCCGGGGTAAAAAGTGATGGTAACACCACGACTGGCAACACCACGACTGGCAACACCGGGAAAGGCAACACCACGACTGGCAACGCCGGGAGTGGCAACACCGGGAGTGGCAACACCACGACTGGCAACACCGGGAGTGGCAACACCACGACTGGCAACACCGGGAAAGGCAACACCACGACTGGCAACACCGGGAGTGGCAACACCACGACTGGCAACACCGGGAGTGGCAACACCGGGAAAGGCAACACCAGGACTGGCAACGCCGCGACTGGCAAATCCGGGAGTGGAAACACCACAACAGGCAACGCCGGGAATGGCAACACTGCAACAGGCAACTCTGATAAAACTGGAATGGGCGATGCCAGGACTGTCGACACTGGGAATAGCAAACCTGATACTGGCAGCACAGACAGGGCAGGGGCTGCGGGCACTGGAATCCACAAAACTGATCAAAGTTCAAATGATGCTGGAAAGCAAGGTACTGGATTGGAGAATGGGAACGCTGAGGGGAGGAGCGACAAGAACCCAGCAGAGAGCCAGAGAGATAAGGCCAATGAAAGTGAGGGGGTTGATGAAGATGATGATGCTGAGCCAGCTGAAGAGGATGAGGAGACACTGGAAACAGACGGGGACACAAAACCCGAGGAGGCGGGGGGCAGTGCGACAGTTGCTGAAGGATCAGTGAAAGCTGGAGTTAGGACAAATATTGATACGGAGTTGGTACCGAGGGATGAACCAGAGAGCAGCCACTTCTTTGCCTACCTGGTGACCACAGCAGTTATTGTTGCTGTGCTTTACATCGCTTATCACAACAAGCGTAAGGTAAGAGGTGGGGGCTATCCTGATCTGTTAAATCCTTCCAAGAAAACAGGAAATGGCAGACTGTGATCAAATACTTTGTATCAGTCTTCACTGCCAAAGAATCTGAAGAAGAGTCTGTAATCATGAGGCAAAGAGAGGTAGTATCTTAGAAAAGATTACCTTATCACCACGAGCTGGGATAATGAATGCAGCTGAAGTGCCCAAGTTCTGCTGGCCTGTGTCCTGGGGTCTTAAAAGAAGTGCGTGCATTAAATGTAATGTTATAAAATTGTAAACATCTAACATGTCTGTCAAAGAAAGTTTCCTCCTTGCTGCCTAATTGTACAGTCCAACAGGAAAATGCGAGACTTCATTCCTAAAGAGATTGTAGCAGACATCTAGAAAAACTATAAAATACAATTAGCCAAAGTCAATATGGTTTTGTGAGAGGGAGATCATGTTTATTCCAGGCTGGTAGTTAACTGTCAGTCAACACTAACTGGTACATTCTCCACGAAAACAACTCATCCACTTAGCAACCACTCAGCACTCTTCTCTCAGTGTGAACAATGGTTTCCCCTTAAATCGGTATTCTTGTGAATTGTCTTGAGTGCAAGATAGAAAACTTCAACAAATTATGTCTTCATTCAGAAATATTATCGCTTTCTCTGAATGTAACAACAGGGTGGATGGATGAAAGGGAACCAGTAAATGTACTGTATTTAAGTTTCCAATCAGCATTTGAAAAAGTTGACATAAAAGACCGCTGTACAAAATAAGAGTTTATAGTGTTGAGCTGTTGTTAAAGCATGTGTAGAGGACTGGCAAAGAAATAAAAAACCGAGAGTGGAGATAAATTTGTAATTTTCAGGTTGGCAAATTGTCTCAACCATTTATGATCCACGTCAATGACATGAATAAAGGGTCTGTTTGTACGCAGTCAAACATACTTGTTCTACAAAGGAAAACAAGTTGTGAGAAGTACACAGAAAGTTTGCAAAGCTAAGTCAAATTATTTAGCAATTATTTGACAAATGGAGAGAACATGAGGTGTTCACTTTGGCAGGAGGGGTAGAAAGACAGAACATTATATAGAGACTGCAGAACAGTACAGTCCCAAGGGAGTGACTGACCTGATGCACGAATTGCAAAAGTTTAAGTGAATGGAAAGACAAATGGAAGATTTATCCTGCCAATTCTGGAATGAAGGGGCTCTCGTATGAGGAAAGTTTGAGAAAGTTTTGGCCATGCTGATGGGAGTTTGGAAGAATGAGAATATTAAAACAATATTCAGAAAGAGGTTGACAAGATAGATGCTGTTTACTTTGATGGAGGAGGTATGAAACTGAGAACTAGGAAACACATTTTAATAATAAAGGTTTTATTTATAAGACAGAGATAAGAAATTTCTCTGAGCGGAGGAAATCTTTGAAATTCTGTACCTGGGAGCAGGGGAGCATAGATCATGAAATATGTTTGAGGCTCAGTTAGACAGATTTTTGATCGAGCAGGGAGTTGAAGATTCCCAAAAACAGACAGGAAAGTGAAGTGGACCAAATGGCCTCCTCTTATTTCTCATTTTCCATGGCTCTCAGGATGCAGCAGGGCTTCCAATAAGAAACACCTGTTGGTCCACAATCCCCATCCTTGGCCAAAGTCAAGCTTCTGAAGAAGGGTCACTGGACCCAAAACATTAACTCTGATTTCTCTCCACAGATGCTAGCAGGCCTGAAGAGATTTTCCAGCTTTTTTTTTGTTTCAAGCTTGTGTCTGCTTGGGGAATGGGAGAAAAGAGAGTTGAATCTGTGGTTGGGGGTAGGGGGATGTGGACAAGGAAAGAGATGGAGGAGGAATGTTTATCCGTGTAGGGTTGGGGTTGTTCCAATGTTTGGGGGAAGGGGACTTAATCTCTCAACAGGGCGGTACTTAATTCTGGTTTTCTGTTGCAGATTATCGCTGTTGTCATTGAAGGTCGAAGGTCAAAGACCAACCCCCGACGCCCAAAATCAACAGATTACCAGCGACTGGAACAGAAGGTACTATGCCCTATCCACCCTCCCCTGCCCTTCACCCTTTCTCTGCCCGTGCCCCTCTCTGGCCCATTCCCATCCCCTTCTCTGTCCACCAACCTTTCTGTCCCCTTTACCATCTCTGCAGCACCCTCCCCCCAACCCCCACTGAAGGCTGCGATTTAATTTCCAATTCTCTTTGTCTCTCTAGTTGTGAAGACACTTTGGCCACTGCTGGACCCTCTGCAGAGGAGCTTTCTTCCTCCCTCCACCCCCACCATTGACCTAGCTTCCCCTCTAAACTACAAGGACTATCTCTTTAAGCACACCAAACGTCTGATCAAAAGAGTGTTTGATCGAGAACCACAGTCTCACGGCTTCAGATCCCAGTCAGCTTGGTGTGAATAATGGAATTTCTCTGGTTGTAGTGTGTTTCTGTGGGAGAAGGGGATGTTAAGGGGCCAATACTGATTTAATTGATGACTGTCTGATTATTTCAACTGGAGGGGTGGTTGGGTGAGTCATAGGTCAGATGCTGGGGGTGTGTCGTGGGGAAGTGTCGGGCTGGTTATGGTCTGGGCTGGGGGTAGGTTTGGGCAGATTTGAAGGGTGTGGGTGGGTGGGAGGGAGGGAGTAGTGAATGGTGGTCACTCGAGATGAGCGGAGGTCAAGTGAAACTTATTTCTGTAGAAAATGATACTGATTTAATTAAGTGAGAGAACGTGTGACTGGGAATCATCCCAAAAGACCAGGTCAGTGCAAATGAGGAGTCTCATGGAGAGGTTAATTTCTGAACCAACTCTGGGAGAACCTCACGCCTCTACCCAGGTTGAGGGCGGGGATGAGGGGTTGGTACAGGAGCTGAACCATAAGTCCAGGGGAGGTTTGGAGTATCTTGTTGTGGGTCTGTGAGATGGTCCTTGACAAGTAAAGGACTAACTCACACATGGCCCTACCTCCTCGGTAATACTGAGTCTCTTTCTGCTTACATTGTGGACTAGAAATGTTTGTAAATTCTTGTAGCCAAAGGCTGTATCCAGCATGGGGTGACCTGGAGCCCAGCTACACTGTCATGCAATCCCTATAAAGAGCATTAAACTCATGGCTGTTCAATCATTTCCTGTTATCTCGTGCCTAGTTAATGCTCCTGTTACAAATCAGAACATGAGACACCTTTACTGAGACATTAGGAAGAGGAATTGTTACAAACTCTCAGATAAGCAATGAAATACATCACACCAAAATCTGAAGCAATTCCCAATATTAAGAACAGAAAATGCTGGACTCAGCATCTTTGGACAGAGAAATAATCTTTTAAGTCCAATCTGACTGTTCATCAGAGGTGGTTACTTGGCAAGGGATGTGAAAGTGAGTTTTGACAGATACTGCAATTAAACATCAAAGGGAAATGGTAAGCGATAAACATGAATGAGGTAGAGAGAAACTGAAATCTTATCAGTGACGAGCAGGACTTTTACAATTCGGGAATTCTTGGAAGAGATGACCAGAAACTAACATTACTACAAAAACATGGGAAGAAAAATGGAAATATTCAGCAGCTGTGGATTTCCTTGGATACTTTCTCACCTACTGAGTATTTCCATTAATTTCTATACTTTTGCAGAATATTCTTTTCATGGGCAATGTGAGACATGTAACATGAAGGATTGAAATCTCAGAAAACACAGTGGGTGCCGTTCTTTCAAAGTGCAGGTTTGTGGTTCAGCCTGGACTATGGCCACTCCCAACATTGGTGGTTGTACCTCAGTTTCCTGAAAGTGACCAGGTCGTGGAGAGTGATGCTGCCTTTGGACAGGCTTAAAAATATTTGCGATGAAACATGATACACCACCTAAAGCAAGGTGACTCAGTGGTTAGCACTGCTGCCTTGCAGCACCAGGGACCTGGGTTCAATTCCAGCCTCGGGGAACTGTCTGTGTGGTGTTTGCACGTTCTCCCTTTGTCTGCGTGGGTTTCCTCCGGGTGCTCCGGTTTCCTCCCACAGTCCAAAGATGTGCGGGTTAGGTGGATTGGCCATGCTAAATTGCCCATAGTGTTCAGGGATGTGTACATTAGGTGGGTTATATGGGTCTGGGTGGGATGTTCCAAGGATCAGTGTGGACATGTTGGGCCGAAGGGCCTGTTTCCACACTGTAGGGATTCCATGAACAATAAACCACTGATGCAAACATCACATCAGCACACATACTAACTGACCAGTTTGGACACTTTTCCATCAGTTATCAAGTCTCCTGAACTCAGACAATCTCTTAGCTCTCCACTGGAGAGTTGCAGAAAAAAACCCAGACACAGTGGTCCGCTCATGTAGGTCATGACTTAACAGCAAGTCCAGAACCAACTAAAATCAGCATTACACCTTTCTTCAGCCCTCCCCCCTTTCAGTCATGAGCAAAACAGCAGGTTGTGATCGGTCCATAAACTCTGACAGAAAGATCATGGATCCTGTCACTTGTTGCTCATGTCCTGGCACACTGGCAGCTATCACACCTCTAGCCAGAGCCCCAGCAGATATCCTGGGCTTGTGGCCATTGCTCAAAGAGCACACACCGGCTTTAATACTCATTATAACGTCATGTCCCACTGCAGAGACTCGGGAACAGGATCAGGGCAACAGAGTACTAATGGACAGTAGTAAAGTCAGAGGGTCAGTGCTGAGGGAGTACCACACTGTCGGAGGGTCAGTGCTGAGAGAGCGCCGCACTGTCGGAGGGTCAGCGCTGAGGGAGTGCCGCACTGTCGGAAGGTCAGTACTGAGGGAGTGCCGCACTGTCAGAGGGTCAGTACTGAGGGAGTGCCTCACAGTTGGAGGGTCTGCGAGGTGATGCATTTTGGAAGATCCAATTCAAGAGCGACCTATACAGTAAATGGAAAAGCCCTGGGGAAAATTGCTGCACAGAGGGATCTGGGTGTTCAGGTCCATTGTACCCTGAAGGTGGCAACGCAGGTCGATAGAGTGGTCAAGAAGGCATACGGCATGCTTTCATTCATCGGACGGGGTATTGAGTACAAGAGTTGGCAGGTCATGTTGCAGTTGTATAGGACTTTGGTTCGACCACATTTGGAATACTGCGTACAGTTCTGGTCGCCACATTACCAAAAGGATGTGGATGCTTTGGAGAGGGTGCAGAGGAGGTTCACCAGGATGTTGCCTGGTATGGAGGGTGCTATCTATGAAGAGAGGTTGAGTAGATTAGGATTATTTACATTAGAAAGATGGAGGTTGAGGGGGGACCTGATTGAGGTCTACACAATCATGAGAGGTGTGGACAGGGTGGATAGCAAGAAACTTTTTCCCAGAGTGGGGGACTCAATTACTAGGGGGTCACGATTTCAAGGTGAGAGGGGAAAAGTTTAGGGGAGATATGCGTGGAAAGTTCTTTACGCAGAGGGTGGTGGGTGCCTGGAACACGTTGCCAGTGGAGGTGGTAGAGGCGGGCACGATAGCGTCATTTAAGATGTATCTAGACAGGTACATGAATGGGCAGGGAGCAGAGGGTTACTGATCCTTGGAAAATAGGCGACAGGTTTAGATAGAGGATCTGGATCGGCGCAGGCTTGGAGGGCCGAAGGGCCTGTTCCTGTGCTGTAATTTTATTTGTTCTTTGTTCTTTGTCAGTGCTGAGGGACTGCCACACAGTCGGTCAGTACTGAGGGAGTGGGTCAAAGGATCATGTCATGATACTACGGCTTTAAGAAGTATATTTTGTCCTGTTTTTTTTTGCGAAGAAACAGTGAAACAGAGGTACCAATCTGTCTACTCCGAGCCAATTAAAGTAAACAGCTTGTGAGGCCTTGGGGTTCTTTTTAAAAGTTCAGAAACAGTCTGAATGGGTGGGGTCAAGCTCCCACTAAGCCAGGATTTATAATTTTAGTGTTTTAGTAGCAGTTGCTGGGTTTGGAAGCTGCAGTACATCTCTCCCTGCTACACCCTCTCTCTCAGAGTTTTCTCTTGATGTTTTTTCCCTGCTGGTCTGGAGAATTGCCTGTGAGACAATCTATTTTACTGAATTTGCCTTTGCCAAGGGTATGTTTACGGTATGTAACTATATTGGAACTGTTTAGTCGTTAAATAATCTTTTATTCTGTTAAGTTTTCCAATAGAGTTCAGTTATTCCAATTTCTCCTTTCGTTATATTTTAACAATGATGTATGAATAAAGTGTGTTTTGCTTCAAGACTCATAGTTAGACCAATCAAATTCCAGTTAGCATGGGATGCCTACCACTGGCCTTTAATTTAAGTGAAAGTTAGGGTCTAGGCTATCTTCGTCATATATTTGAGGAGGTTTGGTTTGGTCCATAACAAATTGGGGGCTGTTGTCACGATCAAAGTCTCTAATTCCCAATTAGGTTTAGGATTGTTGGACTCAAAAGCAGTGAGTGGTGAATGTTACACTTGCTTGGTTTAAACAGGCTGTGTCTTGTGTAGTAATGGGTCACTCAGTCACTAAGAGTTTCCTGGGGGTGGTCCAAGTCACTTTGGGAGTTTTACAGAAAGTGAGCAAGGCAAAGCTTTTCAGAATTGGCAAACAAGCTGGAGTTGGTGTTGCCGGTGTCTGGGAGGAAAAGTGAGATAAAATTGTGGTGATCATGAAGCATTTACAATTGCCAGACATGTCATCGGTATCTTTGGAAATAGCTAAAATTCGATTGCAACTTAAGCAGTTTGAACATGAAAAGGAAATGAAACTGTTTGAATTACAACTAAACACAGAAGAAAGGGAGAGAGGTTTCAACTGCAGAGATTGGAACTGAAAATGGTGGAGGGAGAGGCAAAAAGTAGGATTAATGATGGAGAGCAATCCCATTGTAGCCACAGGCCTGGTGGGGATCTGTTTAAATATGTCCAAGCATTGCCAAAGAAGAATGTAGAAGCCTTTTCCATTTCATTTGAGAAAGTGGCTAAACAAATGAAATGGCTGGTGACCATGACCACTGAACGGCTGTAAATTGGGAGAGGGGAGTGTGCAGTGGGACCTGGGTGTCCTTGTGCACCAGTCACTGAAGGTAAACATGCAGGTGGTAAAGAAAGCAAATGGTACAATAGCCTTTATTGTGAGAGGATTCGAGTACAGGAGCGGGGATGTGTTGTTGCAGTTATACAGGGCCATCCCAGAGACCACACCTGGAATACTGTGTGCAGTTTTGGTTTCCTTTTCTCAGGAAGGATGCTCTTGCTCTCAAGGGAGTGCAGTGAAGGTTTACCAGGATTCCAGGGATGGCGGGTCTGACGTATGAGGAGAGATTGATTAGGTTGGGATTGTTTTCACTAGAGTTCAGATGAATGAGGGGGGATCTCGTAGAGACTTATAAAATTCTAACAGGACTGGACAGAGTAGATGCAGGGAGGATGTTCCTGATGGTGGGTGTGTCCAGAACCAGGAGTCACAGTATGAGGATTCAAGGTAGACCATTTAGGACGGAGGTAAGGAGACATTTCTTCATCCAACAAGTGGAGAGTCTATGGAGTTCATTACCACAGGAAGTAGTTGATGCTAAAACATTGAACGTACTCAAGAGGCAGCTAGATATAGCATTTGGGGCTAATGGGATCAAAGGTTATGGGGAGAAAGCAGGATGAGGCTATTGATTTGGACCATCAGCCATGATCGTGATGAATGGTGGAGCAGGCTCGAAAGGTCAAATGGCCTCCTCCTGCTCCTATGTTCTATGACCACGTGGGTATTGTTGATGTAAACCAAGTTGCTAGGTAGGGCTGTGAGAGATTTGCATCACTATCAGAGGAGGTATCAGAGGAATACAAGGTGGTGAAAAATACCACCTTAAGTGCATGTGAGCTAGTACCAAGAGCCTACAGGCAATGATTTAGGAATCTACGGAAGGAGCCTGGTCAGACATACATAGAGTTTGAAAGGAGCAAACAAAGTAATTTTGAGAGGTGATAAGGGCATTTAAAATAGAAGAAACACGTGACTCTCTTAGAGAGATGATTGTTTTGGAGGAGTTTAAAAAAATCACTTCCTGAAGTAGTGAGAAATCATGTGGAAGAGCAGAGTTGACACTGCAAAATTAGCAGCAGAAATGGCGGACGATTAAGAATTGATTCAGAAATCAAAGTTTGGTTTCTGACATCAAT